TCAACAACAACAGCAACCACCATTCCAAATCTAATTTCCTGTTCCTGGCAAACCTTTCAATCTACCAACCTTAAACAAGTAGCTTATATCCAATTCCAATAAAAAACTAAATTCCAAAATAAGATTACAACTTTCATTGGATAAAGCAATGTGGAGCACATTGCCAGGTACACAGATAGCCTTATCAAATCAACAAAAAAGGTTGGAGTCAAATTGCTTGCAATATTTTATTTTTCCAATACTCGAAGACCTCAACTAAGATTCATATAAAATTCTCAATTTAAATAATGATACAGGCACCAGATATCTCAAGAGAATCAGGGAGTCCAGACAAACCAAACCTTCATTAGCAGATAATGATTACTGGAAACACTTCATAGTCGAGAACAAGTTAAAAGAAAATAAATACTGATCTCCTAAATATGATCTTATGTAGAACCATATGAAAACTTAAAAGTGAAATATGTACTAATTTGAAAAAAAAAGGGGGAAAAAAAAAACAGTATAGAAAAGGTGCACTAAAATACGTCACCACAAACCTGCAACTTCCGTAACAAATTGATCAGCAGAACCATCGAAGGTATCAGAAGATCGAGCAAACTCTTTTCTCGATTACGTTCTATAAGCAAATCAGATGTTGAACTGCTCTCTCCACCCTCATCAACAAGATAATCTGCGTAAAAATTAAACCATTTTTCAACTTCACAAGCCAACTGAAGCATCTCAAACACATTGTAAAACCTCCATGGAGCAACGATTCCAGCCATCACGAAGAAATTTCATAATAGGGTTTAATCGGTTAGTAGACAATGCATATTCTCATCAACAAGATAATCTGCTTAAAAGATAAACCATTTTTCAACTTCACAAGTAAGCCAACTGAAGCATCTCAAACACATTGTAGTACCCCCATGGAGCAATGATTCCAACCATCACGAAAAAATTTCATAATAGGGTTTAATGGGTTAGTAGACAATGCATACTTGATGCAGAAGAACATCTCACTGCAATAACCATTAACCACTAAAACTATGATGCGCCCTTCGAGCAATAATGAGTTTCTGTATGATTCGGAAATTTTATTAATGTTCAAAATTGCATTCAGTAGCAGGGAAAAAAAAAACTTACCATAAATATTGGATGACCTCTCCAGCATTTGTCTGCAATTGATCAAAACAGCATGGATGACCATAACAGCACCTTCATCATAGAGAGTTGCAGCAACAACCTTGAGTAAACAAAAAAGATATGCTTAAATGACTTTTACAACTACAAATCCAGAAACAAAGCTAACAAGATCCACAGTACCGAATTATCCGAAAGGAATGCCAAAATTCGAATTGCTGTAGTCAGCTGGGCTATGGAGGAGTCACGAAGAATGACACCAGGAAAATCCTTCTCAGTTATCCGTTTTCCAATTAGATTATCAACAACACTGCCATCAGAACTATTGGAAGATTCCCCTACAACATTATCGACATCCATCATATCAGAAGCCAAAACACTGTCTGAGGCCATGTGAACATCTCCTCCAGAAGCCAAAACAGCAGCGTATCGTAATAGTCCAATTGCACCATTTCTATGGTAAACTACACTAGCGTCTATCCACTCCAGCAGCCGTGCAGGAGCATCTTTCTTGTTGGAACCTGGGGAGGAGGAATGCAAGGCTATATGCAGTTCCTTCGCATGGTTAATCCAAGATCTCAGAGAAGTTGCAGTAGAATCGGTTACAATAACTTCAAAAATCTCAGCAGCGGCGTGAAAGATTGCAAGGTTTAAAGGTGACAATCCTGCAAGATAAGAATTTCGCCGGATATAAGAATACACAAAAATTAATGTACCAAAGAATCTTCATGCCTCAAGTCAATAATATACCAGTGCTCAAAGAAACAAGATCAAGTTCCCTTCCAGAATGTAAAGCAGCCATTAAGACTTTGAGAGCCTGCAGAGAAAAAATACAAGGTTCCTTCTTGAGTAAAAATATTCTTAAGCATGTGAAATACAGATCGAATTCGTAAATCGAGCAGAAAATATGCACTAATCAGATGTTTCATAAGAACCCCCAGAACAACAACACCAATGTGATGATCTGATAGCAGTAAGCCAAAAGGAAGAAGTCTGCCGCACAAAATAGAATGATTCTTGAAATATTAATCTTTTCTATAGGAATCACGAAAAAAAGTCATGTCAGAGCAACCATAACGCATGGCGTCCAAAAATAAGTATTATACCTCGGGGAAATTCACCAAAACCAATAGAGCCTGACGTCCACACTCTGACCTGAAGGAGGACAGTTTGAAGCCTTAAGAAACTTAAAGATAATGAATAATAATCATAGTAATAATAATAAGCATCTGCTACCTGGCGAGACGACAGAGATCCCAAAGCACCCATAAAAACTCTTCAGTGTTTGGGGTCAACTTACATAAGCTATCTATGGCAATTAACTGGATATATTCATATGAAAATGCATTTAGTTTCACAAAGTAAGCCTAAGCAAAGAAAAACATGAAATAAATGAAGAACAGGAAAAGAAGTAAAAGAAGGGGCAGTGCTGATAAAATGAATGGAGCAACAGCAGCCAAAAAAAATAATAATAATGCAAAAAATAATTCAAATAGAAAAACTTACTGCTCTCATATGCATCTCAACTATCTGTCCAACTTCCTTTGGGGAAATAAAAAACCCTTTAGACATCAAGACATATGCAAAACGAAGTGAAAGCAAATCTTCCTTCTGAACACCCTCGACACCACGCAAAGCATGGATAATGGTTGAAGAGACTTCAAGGTCGTGTAAAAGGAAATTTAATCCTGAAAGTGAAAATAGGCAGCATAAATGATTATATCTTACAACTTAACTTGACTATGAAAAGAAGGTGACAAAGAAAAAACCTGAGCGACAAAAAAGCAGCAATAGAATTATTGCTTCAATATGCAATACAATGTCCAAAAACAAGTCTGTTGCATGCCCTGTTTCAGATCGTAAAACAGAAGATGATAGCAAAGCAGCTGATAAGGGAAGGAAGCCTCTCTCCTGTTCAACGAAATGCAAAGTTAGTATACAGCCTAAAAGAAAATCGCCCTACAACAAACTGAAGCAGGGAAGGACGTGGGGAAGGAATTTAGATATGGTAGCAGTCAATTTCAGGTGAAATTACAATGATAATACTTGATACGATGATCTTTTCAAGAATTTACAAAGAAATAGTGCACAATCTGAAATTTTCAGAAATGCTTGTATGGTAATAGTTTTACAAAAAATCCCGCAAGCAATCACCAGAGCTTCTTGGTTGCCTCGCATCAATTACCATGTCCTATGGGATTTCCTCAAACATACAATTTGGCAATCATACAGCAAAATTTAATGTTCAAGATTTCCCTCTTCCATGTACTTAACAAAATCAGTAGGTTGATGCATTATCAACCTCTTCTTCTATCACATCTTCCAGACTTCGTACGTCCATATTCTAGTTTCTTAATACGTATAATCTTACCCATTGCACAACACTTATTGAAAAGCCACATTAAAATTTGTATTTGCAGAAGAAAATAAGCTCATCAACTTATCTAAAACAAATTAATAACACAAAAATCATCAGGTTAAAAAAATGAAACTCGCCACTCTTCATATTTTAAAAGCAAGGCAAATAGGAGAGGATAACAATTCATATGTAACTTAACTCTGAAAAAACATTCATATAAGGATGAATACTGACCAAGGAAATGGATGGTATAAGAGCATACCTTCAAAAGGGAAAGTAAATGTGCGTCTATGTCCCAATTCAAAAAGCCACAATTTGATTGATTAATCAAGACAACGGTTGTCTTATATGCCAACTGTCCAGTATCACCAAGGATAAAAAATCTGCTTGCCGCAGCTGTTGGAGAAGGATCATCAATTGGACCACTCAGCTGTATCAATTTCTGCAACAATACTTGTTATCAGGTTTGAACTCAAAAGTGGAACATCCATATGCTAGTTTCAGATAGAAAATTCATGCATCAAAATCAAACGAGTCAGGCAATACAACAGAGAAACTAACCAGCAGTTTCTTTAGTTGCACTTTAGCACTCGCAAGCATATCCACTGTAGAATTTGTGACTTGGCCAACAGCTGATATGCCCTCTAGTATGGATAATACTATGCACTGGGACAGGAAACAATAAAGTTTAATCATCCAATAGAAAAAATCCACAAAGTCAGCGTAATTTTTTGCTCATAGTATTGCACTCTTTCCCAACAGCAACTTTACAAGAGAAAAACATGCTGTCAAAGTTTAGCCTTAAAGGCTGTGAATTTTCTGAATGCTACTCTGAAAATGGCTTCCTTGCAAGATCAAATACTACATCACATAGAGCCAGACAAATCACTATCTTCAATTCACATACACAAAAAACCACAAGGAATAAGAGCAATCACATTTTAGCAAAAATTTAGAATTATTAACTGAAATATGACATGCAATCGTGTAAGGACATAATGCCATTATATATGTATGTCGCTACATTATTTTTATGCAGAAACATATCTGTCCTTCACAATCATAGTTAGCACACAGATGGGAGAAAAATGCAGATGTACCTCATATCTACAAGCAACTTCATAAAGACGCATGCGATGAAGTAAATAAGTTGCAAGGGAGGCAACATCATGCCTCTGATTCTCCAACAACATCTTCAACAACTGATTATACCCTTCACTAGTGCCGTCTGGTATTCTTTCATCTTCCCGAGGCCACCATCCTAGAAAACCTTCACATCCAACTGAATGCGAAGTAGCTCGCTCAATGACTCCAAGAAGCAACAATGCAAGAGTAGTAGAATTTTTCATTCGGTTAGCAAAAACATATCCCAGCTGCGTCATGCCACCAGAGTTAACAAAGTGAAAACAACTCTCCCTAGCAGAGCAGAACAAAGTTGCCATGCTCAACCACAGAATTGTATTCTTATTCTGAAAAGAGAGGGGAGAAAAAAATAAAAAAATAAAACTAAAATCAGCCAATCAGGTTTGAAATGCTTATCGCTTGATGCAGCAGATGCATGAACAGGATGAAATAAAAAATTTAAATAATATAACAGGACTGATTGAAGTGTTGAGCATATAACAGATGCTAACAACTTCATGACGCATACAGATTCCATCTACCTGTGAAATATGTAAATATCCCACATTTCCAATGCCGCCAGAAAAATCAAAATGCTGGTGTAAAATTTCCACCAGTTCTTTAGAAGTAACACCATCTTCCTTGGAATCAAGAAACAAGCTTTCTGCTGAAAGTTCGGCGGATAGCTCCCCAGATTCATTTTGAAGTTTATTATATAGACCCAAAACTTCTTCTTCTGCTTCAATAAGAGTGCGATCATCCAAACCACTAATCACAGTACCAGGCACCAGCTGCTTTGGATCAACATGCTCGTGAGATGGGCCACGGGTTCTATACTTTGAGGCCACCAATAACAATGAGCTGATAACTTTATCCGCTGCTTCACCCAGGTTCTGAGAGTCCAAACTTTTAAAAACTAACACCAGGAATCTTCTTAATTCAGACGGAATATCCAAGACAGCTGCCGGTCGAGATAATATCTTCAAGGGCGATATGAGTTCCTTAATTGTGGACATATTGGGATGAAAAGCAGGAGGCAGATCTTCCAGGTTTCCCTCAACAGCACTAACAGTATCAGTCAGTGAGCTGTCTAGATCAACATCTATGTTAAACTGGCCAAGATCTTCCGCTGTGTTCCCATATATGACCATGCTCAGGCTGCGGTAGCTGCCTCTCACAACCAAATGATTTGTAACCACAGCCTATTGCAAGATGATGCATTAGAATGCATTTCAGAAAAAGAAATGCAATATAATTAAAATTAACTAATAATGCCAAGCCTAAATACACTAGTGAGGCGTGAAATCTGCATCTCAACTCAATTTCAAGTACTGAAGTAGGGGAAATGACAGAGAAATAGCGTCTTCCTCAATCAAGTACATCTACGAGAAATTGCTCCATCAAACTAAATGAGACCGAAGGAGCAACCTCTCTGAGGACATGATGTTGATGGATATTGCTTTCATATCTACAGTTTTTATATGGTTTGCCGTGATATATGACAAGAGGGATAAAAATGCGATAGAATAAATAAACAAATGTGTATGTAATACTTTTATATTGAATAATAATCAAACTTAAGCACAAGATGACATATATATACATAACAGACATAGAAAACAAACAAAAACACGAGAGAAATATCTTAGTAACTTACGGAACTACAAAAACTAGAGAGTTCAACGAACTTTCTTAAATTTAACGAAATAAAAATATAGAAAGTATAGTACACACCTCAATCTCAAGCACATTTGATGACGAATGAGAGTACAAACAAGGCAAGCACAAACGCCTAAATCTCGTCTCTCCTTCACAGTGAATAAAAACTTCCAGAGCAAATGAAGGAGGTGAAGTGCCCCTAAGACAGAGAAGAATAGTGAGATTGCACATAACAATCACATGATAGAATTGAAACAAGGGTAAAACAAAAATAATGATGGGTCATAACAATCAAAAAGCATATCCAACTAGGTAACATGATTCAGTATCCACAACCTCATAAATGGTAATATATTCCTTCTGGAGATAAAAAAAAAAAATTCTAAAAAAAAAAAAAAACAAATATAAAAAGTGTATGTCCATCATACCCGACAAGCTTCACTGCAGTACATAATGAGGAAGCATTCTGCTCAAGGAACTCACAGGCTGTGATGACTACAGGCTCCGAAAATACCACCTAGAGTGTAAAAAATGTTGAGAGAAGAGATCATAAAGTATAAAGAAGTAATAAAATGTCAGTAAATATGCAAGATGTGAGAAGTTTATGCCCGCCCCGCATTGATAAGTTATTGGGCTGTTATTGTGTGTAAGTGCGGGACGAGCTAGCTTTAAAGAATGAGTTCTGCCTAGCCAATTTAATACAAGATAAATTGAAGATCAAATCCATCAACTAAAAAAATTAGCTTCATACGCTAGTTATTTAGAGTGTGCTTGGATATAAATAACCAGTGTTATAGAAGTCGTTAAGCGCTTGACCAGCGACTAGCGCCTAACACCTAGGGCCTAGCATCTAGGCGGGGCCTCAAAATTAAAATTAAATGCCTTATTTGTTTATTTATTTTCACTACCTACAAAATAGAATTATCTCAACTTATAATAAATCCACACACCTAAGTCCAAATAATAATATTAATATATGATTAAAAAAACATGATCACAAAATTATGTAACTAGTATTTAAAAAAAAACAAAAAAAAAAAGTAAAAAATTACGGCCGAGCCCGCCAAGGCGATTTTTTCGGCCGATTCATGCAAATCGGAGGCGGCTGGGCGACACCTAGGCCGACTTTTAGTACAATGTAAAAAATCAAACAATTTTCAATCACTTTTCACCAAACACTTTTTTATAACTCAACCACACTATCCTCAATATTAATCAATATAATTAAATAATATCAACCTCTCATCCTTACACATTACATCAACTATAATTCACTATTCATCTACTCACATAACTTTAACTACTCATCACTTAAAATCACTTTGCTCCTACTTTTAAATCAAATCAACTTTAATCATTTTATTTTAAATATTTATTTCAATACACTCACAATCTCATTCAAAACTAACACAACCAACTTATTTAAAATTAATGATGGTTAACAAAAAAAAAACCAACCAAAACCAAAATATCCAATCACAAACTTATATCCAAGCACACACTTAAAAGTTTGAACGAAAACCAACAAATTTTGCTTCAAGTGTGAAATTCCATTCCTTACTTCAACACATGGGCTAATTCCTCACATAATCTTTTTATTTAACTTGTACGAATCGCAAGAAAATGAAAATTACAAACAAATGATAATCTCCTAATTTAAAGATTTACTAACAATTTATTAATGTATCATGGTACAAATATTTACTTTGTTTGTACATATATTGCTCAAAATTATCACCAATCAATCACTCAATGGGCGATTTATTCAATGTATCATACTTCAACTATTCAATGTTTTACTTTCATCATTTTGTTAATATGGAACACTAAGAGCATGATTGGATATGAAAATTTAAAGCTCAATATTAGACTACCAAATAAATAATGCCAGTTCCACAACCTTGGAAAAAAAAATATCGCACATGAATACAACCCGAGTATTTAGGGTCATGACTAGAAGTAGTATAACATTTGTTATTCACTTCTCTCCACTTCCTTCAATCTAATGTTTACTTGCTCCAAAATGTTAACTTTATAAAGCATTCCATAGAGGCCAAAGATAGAAAAAAACTCCAACCCACCCCCCACCCACAAACACAGCTTACAACTTTCATCGAGAGGAACTCTTCTAAAAATCTCACTCGAAAAGGTGCTGAGTTGAAACCCCATTCCCCAGATACAAAATCCATAACTCAGAATCAACTGTATATCAATGTTTTGTCCGTTGCATAAGGTGAAAGCTTATGACATACAAATCGCATAACACTAACACGCTGGAAAACAAAATCAACAGTGCAACCAAAACATTGCACCCAGCATAAATCTTTTAAATACAGAGAGAAGGGCAAAAATTTAGAACAAGCACCAAATACTATTCAAGAAGCCATAAATACAATATATGATAACAAAAACATTGAGTACCTCGTCGACATATTCATCGAGGTGCGGATGAACAAACGTGTGCGCGTAGAGCACACAGGGTTCAGGTCGACCCATCGGCCCTTCCGCCCTGACCTGGGAGCTAATCAAATTGACTGTGCAGAGAAGTGAAGTTTAGGGGTTTTGCCCTTTAGTTGCAGAGCAGGGAAGAAAGAGGTGGTTTTCTACTTCCTTTGAAACAATGTCCCAAGCGGCTCTTTAAAACCCCCAAATTATTTGGGTTCAATTTTCTCCAACTGGATTTTTCATCGTTTCCTAATTCCTATAGGCGTTTGTTTGTCTGCAGAAAAAAAAAAACTGGAAAATCGCGATTTACTTTTCAACTTTTAATATTACGAATGGGTCCTCATACTTCGTTGATTTTTTTTTCTTCCAAAACGATAAATATTATTATATAAATTAAAATGTCCAAATGTGTAAATACAAGCAGCCCCTAGCTGAATGGAATAACCAACAACTGAAAAAGTAGGAAGATATGTCCGAAAACTGCCTAGAATACCGACTAGCAGCGCTAGAATAAAAACACTCGCAACTAAACTAACCAACTACACCAACAACAACGGAAACTACTAAACAAAAGATTCCAACAGGTTAATACTCAAGTATGAGATACCAACATAATAATAAATTCACACTCGGGCGTACAGAGGTCAAATGACCCAAACTAAAGACACAGACCTAAACAACATAAGCACGAACACAAAGAGAACAACCTAAAACAAAGCCCTTTTCCAGCGGCATAACCTAACCCAGCACAAGGCACCGGTGAAATCAGGACCAATCACCCTCCAGCTTGACCCGAAAGCCGGAACGCCACTCCCACCATTGCCTAAAGCCTAGCAAAAGATGAGTCCCGAGCCTCGAACTATTCCAAGGATGCAGTCGACCCTCAGCCAGAGGAATATCGATCAGCTCCTCACGAATCGCAATTACAATGACACTTAATAACACTAATAATTTTCTTATTACTTAAATAACACTAATAATTTTCTATATACAACAAGTAAATCATACCATATTCTCTGATTACTTAAATAATACTAATAATTTTATCAATATGGTATAGTTTATTTGTTGTATATAGAAGGTTGGGTCCACTATGGAGCCAACTGTTGACTTCATATTAAAACAGATATTAGACAAATGTAAAAAGATGAATCAAAAAAGTTACATTAAATTTTCTTGATCGGGTAGTATATACACTTTTGCTATAAAGCGGTGTCTTTTAAAGACAGTTCAGTCGACGCTACCCTACGAGTACTACCCGCATTCACTGTTCACTAATTACCTTGCGCCACCTGGAACATAAACATATTTCTTGTTTCTCTTTTTCCTTTCGGCCCAAATTCATGTTGAAAGTATTATATTCACAAATAAAAAAAAAAAAAGATAGTTACCTTTTCCCAAAAAAAAATAAAAGATCTGAAATTTGGTAGCATCTCTCATCGCCCGAAATCATCTCTCATCGCCCGAAAATCATATCTCGAGTGAGAAAAATTGTACCATCTCTCATCGTTCGAAATCGCTCGCGCGAAATCGCTCAATCTCTCTAAGGAGACTGTGGTTAAAAAAATTGCAGTTCTTCTCGAAACCACGGTATAGAAATTGCATTTTACTGAGTTTGTTGATTGCTTATTGTTCGATTTGCTGCCTTTGCATTTTGTAGATTTGCTGCGATTATGGGCATTGCATAGAGTATTAGGGTATAATGTAGAATTACGAAAATCCTGAAGCAAGCAAGTTTTTTTTTTTCTCCGCAATCCCCTTTTCTCTCCACAGTAAACCCTCGTCGCGGCTCTTCGAAATCTGACCATTGTGCGCTTTCCCCGGCAATTAGTCGGCCATTTCGTCGGCGGATGACCTTCAGCTGCATCATCCTGCCCCTATTTCTCGCTCGCTCGTGCTTCTGCGCCGATGATGTCTCTCCCAAGCCGTCGACAGGTCTCGTCGGTTCCTTATCGCCGGTGGTGGCTAGGAGTGTTCATCGGTCGGTTCGGTCGACCGATCGAACCTAAATACCAAGACCGAATTAACGGAAGCAGTTTTTTTTGTTAACCGAACCGACTGAAATATTTTCTTAAAACCGAAATAAAATTGAACTGAATTATTCAGTCGGTTCGGTCGTTAACCGATTTTTTAAAAAATAAACAATTTTTTTTAGGATTGTTTACTAGGCCCAAATATATGGGCCTTTTCATTGGGCTCAATAACAAAAGTACAACATGAAAACACATCCAGAAAAAACACCAATAAAACATCAATAAAACAGCATTAAAAGTCCAGAAAAACAGCAAAAAGTCCCTACAAAAAAAAGCAATAAAAGTAAAAAAAAAACAGCAATAAAAGTCCAGAAAACAACATTCAAAAGTCCAGAAAACACATCACTAAAAGTCCAAAAGACAAAGGAATGAAGTCCCTAGATAAAACAGCAATAGAAGTCCAGAAAAAATAACAATAAAGTCCCCAGAAAAAGACCAATAAAAGTCCAAAAAAAAGCATTCAAAAGGCCTTCATAACAGCCTCGAAAAGCACCCAAACAACCCCAAACTTTTGTCCCCAAAACAGCAGCTATAAACCTTCAAAACAACCCTGAAATAGCGCTAAAACGAGCCTAAAAACAACAAAGAATATCTAAATAAAAAAGCACCAAAAACAAGTGAAAATATCTTATACAAACCAATTTTTAGAACAATTAAAAAGAATGAAATTTAATAGTGGTTACCTCAAATTTCACAAGTCGTACTTCACTATGTTTGTCCAATCCCCACTTGCGGGAAATGTAAAAAATAGGATTTCTATAAGAAAAAAAAAAATACAAAGTATTTGAACATAAACATTACCTTTTTCAAGCATTTCTAGTTCATCCAATGACACTTCAACACATAAAGGGACGCATTCATTTCGAGTCAATCTTGTGTACATATCAATGCTTCAACAATTTTAGGAGTTAAAGAACTCCTAAATTTGTCGAGCACCTGCCCACCGGTGCTAAAGGCTGACTCCGATGCAACGGCTGATATTGGAACACCCAACATATCCCGAACCACCCTCGAAAGAACCCGAAAATGTTCGAAATTTGATTTCCACCACTTTAGGACATCAAGTTCTTCTTCTCCCTCGAGCACATCCTTATTCAAGTAAATTTCAAGTTCAGGTTTTTTGTTTGCAAAACCCCCGGTCGCTAACTTTTGCTTCTTGAACTTAGCTTTTAAAATTGATTCGGGCTTGGTACTAATACTTTCATGTTCGGAACTTGAAGTTGAAGTTGTTTGAACTCCAATGCTAGCACTTACCTCATTTTCCGGATCATACTTCTTTTTATACTCTTTAAATAATTCAAAGAGATCATGCTTCACTTCCTCAAGAATTTTCTCCCCCTTTTCAACCCCATACAACTCATTCAAAGTGTAAGACATGTACTCAAATTTTTCCTTCGGATCAAAAACACTTGCCCAAAAGATAATTTTATTCATGCATCCCGGCTCTCCCCAATATTTAAAAAATTTTGTTTTCATTAAGTCACCCAAGTCCTTTTTCAAAAGGTCATCGCTCTTTCTCCAATCATCCAAAATGCAACATAAATCACTAATCTCACTAAAAAAAAGTATTCGAACTGACATACAAAGAGCCCGTAATCCGTAAGGTAGCATAATAAAAGTACTTCAACAATTCAGAAATTTTGCGAGCACAAGACCAATCATAAGAACTAGGAACTAAATCATCTCCCAAATCCTTCACAAAAGAAGCTTCGCCTCTTTCATACTTAGCAAATGCTTTCTCAAAATTTTCTGTCGTACTTAGCATCATATAAGTCGAATTTCACCTCGTTTTGACATCAAGACATAATGACTTTTTCAACTTTATACCCTCCCATTCCACACACTCTTTAAATTTTTGAAGTCTAGCGGGAGAATTTTTTATGTATCTAATAGTCGCCCTCACCCACTTCTCTGATGGTTTTATATCTTTAAGGCTCTCGCTAACTATCAAATTAATAATATGGGCAATGCACCTCATGTGAATGTATTTACAATTTGCAACGGTATCCCCCCAATCCATCATTCTATTCTTCAAAAATGCCAATGTCGTATCATTTTTTATGTATCTAATAGCCGCCCTCAACCACTTCACTGATGGTTTTACATCTTTAAGGCCCTCGCTAACTATCAAATTAATAATATGGGCAATGCACCTCATGTGAATGTATTTACAATTTGCAACGGTATCCCCCCAATCCATCATTCTATTCTTCAAAAATGCCAATGCCGTATCATTTTTTATGTATCTAATAGCCGCCCTCAACCACTTCACTGATGGTTTTACATCTTTAAGGCCCTCGCTAACTATCAAATTAATAATATGGGCAATGCACCTCATGTGAATGTATTTAAAATTTGCAACGGTATCCCCCCAATCCATCATTCTATTCTTAAAAAATGCCAATGCAGTATCATTTGAGCTTGCATTATCCATTGTTACCGTAAAGACATTTTTTAGCCCCCAATCAAGAATACAAGTTTCAAGTGACTTGGCAATATAATCATCCTTGTGGCTTGAAACGGGAACAAAATTCAAGATTTTTTTGTGCAAATTCCAATCATTATCAATGAAGTGGCCGGTAATGCACATATAATTAATTTTTTGCAGAGACGTCCAAGTATCAGTGGTAAGACTAACCCTTTGACAGTTACTTTTCAAGAAAGATTTCAACTTTGACCTCTCTTTAACAAACATATCAAAGCGATATGTTGTAACAGTGGTCCGAGAAGGAATTTTAAACCTAGGACATGCTCTGCTCATAAACATTTTAATCCTCAGCTTTCCACAAATTTAAAGGGCAACTCATCAGAACATATCATATATGCAATAGATTCTCGAATCTCACCATAATCATATTTCCAAGCAGATATCGAACTCGACCCAAGAACACCCTCTTTTCCTGGTTGCACATTTATTAAAGCTTGGGCCGTATCAACATTTTCAGGGTTTTTCATGCAACTGTTCATATGAGCAAGAAGTGACGAGGTACCATTTCGTTTTGTATGGCAAGCATATTGCTTTTTGCAATGCTTGCAGTGAGCTCCTATCACATCTCCCTTTGCATCAAGAATCTTGTCAAAATGAGTCCATGCCCTAGATCTTGATTGTACTTTACGTCGTGCGGCGCCCCTTTAACTTCAGATGAGTCTCCAGTTGAAGGTAAAGTCGGTGTCTCCTTTGAGGCATTATCCACCGGTCCCGTGCTTCCGTCTATTTCTTCTTGGCTTGACATCTGTAGACCGAGTTTTCTGAATTTCACAGAAAATGCAAAATCAAGTCAGCATAATACATATTGAGCACAAATGAATACATCATAAAATAAAGCTCGATGTAAAAAGGCAACCTGTTACAATTTATCTAATAATTTTGGGACACTCAAACACATTCAGACTTCCTATTAAATTTTGGGACACTCAGACACTCAATTCTCATTTCTCACCAAGTCACAAATTCATGAGTTCATCATTTTTGGTCCACTCTATTAAATTTTCCGTCAATTTATTTTGGCAGTGAAGAAAAGAGCCAAAAGACCCTTCAATCTCAGTTTTTTTTGTTTCTTATAATCTTTTAAATAAAAAAAAAATTAAAACCAGTTTCACTCCGTCTTAGTTCTATTCCCACTCTCCCATTTCCATTCTCAGGCAAGTAAGTGAGTCAAAATTACCAAAAAAAAAATAAATAGAGAGAAACAGACGATTACAGACTTACAGTTACAGACGGATAGAAAATAAAATACTTATAGTTACAGACTTACAGTCGTGTCCCCTGTGTGTGCCTGACGAGACGACGACCGGTGACCACGAGCTCCTTGACCGGACCGAAGACCGAACTATACGCAGACGAGAGATGAGGGGTTGATTTTTTCGCAAACGATTCGAGGGAATTTGGGCGATTTAAGGTGAATTGCGGAAGAGCAGCATCGGAGAGAAGCGGAGGAGGAGCAGCTGCTTGTACGGGTGGAGGATTGGGGACGACGGCGGAGGATTTAGGGAAGGGATCTAAAATGCGATTATGCGAAACGAAGGAGGGTCTTAGACTCTTAGGGTTATTGACTTAGTTAATGAGTAAATGTACATTTTTATCAAAATATTATAAATTTATAATATATAATATGATATTTTATATATATATTATTCGATCAGTTCGGTTATTTCAGACATTTTGTGTCCGAAAACTAAAACCGACCAAAATAACCGAAAAGTTGCAAATGAAAAATCGACTACCGATCGAGTCAGACAAAAACCGAACCGAATTGGTCTGTTCGGTCGGTTTCGGTCGGTTCGGTCGATTTTCAGTCAAAATTTGCACACCCCTAGTGGTGGCTCCGTCTTCCGTTTCTCCGAGTAGTTGCTGTGGTGGTTGGTCATCGGTTGGCTTCTTCTCTGCTCGGTCACCGGTGGGAGCTCGTCCGCTGCGCGCCAGGTTCGTGGTGGGTTGCTTCAAGGAGGTGAGTGGTTGTGGTTGGGGTTTGGTGCGACCCAGGTGATTTGGCTCGTTTGAGTCACATTGGTCGGGGTTGAGGCGGGTTGGAGCGTGCACCTATATCCACTTTTATGGTTTTGCGGAGTTGGATGTCCGACAAGCCCGGATTCTGACTAGTGGTGTTTGGTCGGGTCACGGGAAGCGGGTCTGTGGGGTGGGGCTATTTCGATCTTCCTCGGGTTGTATGTCAGCTTCATCCTTGGAGTGGTTCGGGGCTTGGGACTCATCCTTTGCTAGGTATTAGGCAGTGGCGGGAGTGTGTTCCGGCTTTCGTGTCAAGCTATAGAATGATTGATCTTGTTTTCGCTGGTATATTGTGTTGGGTTCGATTATCTCGCTGGGAAGGGCTTTGTGTGTTTCAGATTAGGTTTTTATTTTTGTTGTTCTCTTAGTGTTCGTGATTTGTACCTAGGTCTGTGTTTTTTGTTTGGGCCGTTTGGCCTCTGTACGCCTGGGTGTCAAATTTATTATCGTGTTAGAATTCGACACTCGGGCATTACCCTGTTGGAGTCTTTTTAGTTGTCTTAGTTGTTCGAGTTGTTGGTTAGTTTAGTTGGGAGTTTTTTTTTTATTCTAGCGTTGCTAGCCGCGATTCTAGGCGGTCTTCTGAACTGTTCTCCCACTTTTCAGTCGTTGGTTGTTTGTATTCGTACATTTGTGCGCTTTTGATTTATAATAATATCTATCGTTTCGGGAAAAAAAAGTTTTTTTTTTTGTTAGGATGTGATTATAATGAAGGTACTTAGCATATAAACAGAGTGTGTTTATTTTTTGTAGAAATACTATTGAACAGAGTGTGTGAACTTAGCATATGATAGATTAAAAATTAATATTCTTTTTTTTTTTGTAATTTTATGAGCTAATATATTTGTGTAATGTAGATATTACTGAACTAATGGAACATTATTCTGAGGAGCAATGTGAAGACATCGAGGGTAATGCTGAAGAGTTTCTAGAACAAGTTATTAAGTGTTCTTCAATACCAAATCCTGAGGTTCAGTCTTTTGAATTCGTAGTAGAGCATTTAGAAAATAGACTATCAATTGGCATGAAAATCCTCCCTATATATAATTCCCGAATGCGCTGAGCCTACATGGCTGCTTTTGGTGCTTCGGAATCCTATTTGGTGAAGAATCATGCTTCGTAATTAGGTTTGGATAAATAATATTGATATATTAATAATTAATATTTTAGGTTCGGGTATTTCATAAATATTATTTAGCTAACTTAGGTATTTTAATATCACTTTTACCAATATGACCCTTTAATTCTTTGTAATTTTACATAGTGAGACACTAAGTGACTAATATATCCATGAATTTTGATTTGTTTCATTCAATAAGATATTGAATTATAAATGTATTTTAAAAGTTGATAACTTTTGTATTTCTTATCGGTTTTACATATATAATATATCAAATTAATCATCTTTTGATGATCTTCGATTTGACATCCATATTGTATATATGAAATAAATAAATTATATTTATCTTTATAATAAGAAAAAATAATAATATTTATTAAAATTCATTAGAAAAATAAAATTATTTCTCAATTGATATATTTATATGTAATGTAGTTATATATTGTAAGTTAAAAAAATTAGTATAATATAACACAAGTAAGTTGCACAAATAAAAATATGTCATAATAAATATATAATAATGTATATATTCTTATAAAAGGTATTTAAATTTTCAAACTACTTTTTCTCATTAATTTTAGATTTTAAGAAAAAAATTAGCAAACACCCGTGTAATACACGGGTGTTGTACTAGTAAATAACATTGAAGAAGCATAATCATTCTATTGTCAATATGTGCACGACAAAGGTTTTACAATTAAATAAGGTGATCAAAGATAACTTTTTGGGCACTAAAGAACTGCAAATGAA